CTCTCGTTTTTCATTTTTAATTTTTATCTTCGCTTTTTGCTGATTTGTTTGTTTATTTTCATTTTTAATTTTTATCTTCGCTTTTTGCTGATTTGTTTGTTTATTTGTTTGTTTGTTTGGTGAAAGTAGATTGAGTCTTAGTCTCTATTTTTGTATTTTAATTTAACTTTATTCATCAAGCATTCCGTCTGCAATAGGCCTCCATCATCCAAATAAAGTTTTTGTATTTATTTACTGTTGAATTTAAGTTTACTGTTACACGAAATTTTCATGTAATATTTATTAGAGTTCAGGCTCAACCAACTGTTGGAAAAGGAGTAAATAATTATCAGGCTCGACTCGGGCTTCAGCTGAGGGTTCGGAATTGTCTATTTTGCCTCATTAGTAAGCAAACCTTAATAAATTAATAATTACCATAAAATACTAGGTAATCAAAATGACACAAATAACAATGACAAAGTCTACGTCACCAGTCAGATGAAATCAAACCGCTCGGCACCTAATAAAATTTACAGGACAATATAATTCATTAATATTAGAACCAATAAAATGCCAGTATTCCATAGTGACGTATTTTATCACAGCGGCAATATTTTTTATCATCTTGTTTACACGTTACTATGAATTTTGACGTTTTTTTGATTTGACATTTGTTGTCATTTCAATTCTGTTTTTGATATATATCAATAAAATAATGAATTATACACTCTAAAAGATCGATGGGTTGGTGTAAACGATAATGAAATTAAGGTAAGTTTGAATAAATAAGGTTTATTAAAGTCTTTTTATATTTTAAAGCACATTTTAATTTCAAATGTCAAACTAAAAATTCGTTAAATCCTAAAATTCATTATATTTTCTCACTAAATATAACTCGTGGTATGATTAATTATCGATGATATTTACTCATTAAAACCGAAGCAGCACATTTCACTCGTCCTGCGGACTCGTGAAATCTGCAGCTCGGTTTCAATTCGAAAATATCATCGATGATAATCATACCACTTGTTATATTATGGGTGATAGTAATTCAAAATGGGCTTGTTGTGTCATGGACTCCACGGGCAGTGGGGATAAATCAAATGTCGCTATCGTACAATTACGGTTGCTACTCACTCCAAATGTAATACCAAATATTTAAATATGACTGGTAGTACTAGTTACGTGACATAAATGTGAATCCGCGAATACAATTTTATAAATCCCGTATTTAAGAAAATCGATAATTAATACACTTAATTTACACAGCGTTTATAGAAAATCCCCTTTTGAAATATTTATTTAAATTAATTAAATAATCCTAAGTACCGTCCTGACATTTAGCTTAATTAAATCGAATACGGTCCTGCCTATTTTAATTGGATAAAATCCCCGTAAAGCCATGCCTTTTTTAATTTGATAATTAGTCGTTAAAAATCCCTGCCTTTTATTAGATAAAATACACGTACCAATTGTTTATAACTTAGAATATAAATTATAATACGAAATACCTAATTTTCAACGTAAATTATACAGCGTGGTTTGTTTTAAACGGCAGCCATTACAGCGTAATAGATCGAACGATGACGCCAAGTCAATTGATCGATTATTTATCTTTACACAAGGTGTTTGTGTAAACTAATTATACCAAAATGCTCGGGAATATTTATACTACAATAATTTAGTTATTTAAAACGTACAAACCTACATTTTTAACCACTTTCCTGCACACACAATTTAGCACCTCTCGTCTCTGCACGGCTCATCTCGAATGAATGTCCTCCCCTATCTTCCCTGCCCATCTGACTACTTGCATTCTTTCCCCCTACCTTTTCCCACTTAATCAGGAGAGTTTTTCTAACCAATGGCACGCTACCTTTTATATGTCACTTGTATTTCCGTTGCGCTAAATTTAAATGTTAGTTTCATTTACAAGGCTTTTTGAATACATTTATTTTAAACAATTAGGATCGTAATAACCCATGGATTGTTTATTAGGGGGGGTATTTGCAGATCTCCTCAAACTCTGGAAAAGTTATTGTTGTAGAGAATTATATCGATAGTAAATAATAAGAAAGTTTAATTTAAATAGCATAATTGGTTAATATTTATCAATTACTTACGTTTTAAGATATAAAAATGGCCGTAAATTCATCAAATATTTGTTAAAAGACTATTTTTTACGATTCAGCTCTTTCTTTTTCACTATTTTTTGCGAATTGTTAATTGCAAAAAAAAAATGTTCATTCAAAAAATTGAACTTTGATGACTCCTACTGGCGAACCACTACGAGTTACACAAAAAAACACAAAAACAATTTTGAAGAGCGTGAAATTCCCTATAAGGTCCATAAAACCGATTCACAATATTGTAAAGAGCGGGCGAGCATTAGAAATTTGAAAAAAAAAACATTTTTTTACATGCATTTTAAATGGGAAAACTTTAAATTTAAACTGCAAGTACTTAAAATTGATATTAAGAGCTCTACCTTGGTAAAAAATTTTGAAGAGCGTGAAATTCCCTATAAGGTCCATAAAACCGATTCACAATATTGTAAAGAGCGGGCGAGCATTAGAAATTTGAAAAAAAAAACATTTTTTTACATGCATTTTAAATGAGAAAACTTTAAATTTAAACTGCAAGTACTTAAAATTGATATTAAGAGCTCTACCTTGGTAAAAAAAAAATTTTCTATAGAGGTAGGTAGATTAATATTTTGCTTGAGCGCCGAGAAAAAAAAAAGGTTTTTGCGGAAATGAATCACCCTAATAATTATATCTAAGGTTGTTTGCACTTTAGTAGCGTTCGAGCAGTACTTCGACGTTTCCTAACGGCCCAAAGTTCTAGAAGTCCTTATTGTCTAGCTGTAGTCGCCCTTGCACGACGCGAATAAGATTGTCTTCTAACAATTTCATAAATTTGATGTCTAATCCAGGCTCTATTTATCGCAGCACGACTAACATTTAACATTTCTCCTATAGGTTGTATTTAGTAGACTTCTTCAATCAAAGCTAATGCCCTGGCAATTTAAATCTATGTGAGATATACTCTACGCCTTCGTGGTCTTCCAAGCACATCAAAATCCATCATTAATTCTTAAACACATTTACGTAAATGTCGACAGAAATTTAATTGCAAAATAAATGTGTGATTTCAAATGTATCAAATTTTACTTTTTTATCGTACAAGAAAACAAAGATAAAAACTTATTTGTTTCTTATGAGTATGAGTATGAGTATAAGAGACGTATAACCAGCCCCATTTCCTCTTGACTCTCGATTTTTGTTCTTCCCCAGCAACTGCACGGCTTCACCCGTGTTTGCTGGGTGCGAATGTCCATTGCGTTCCGTACTGTTCCCTATTTGGGGCTCGAGAGCGAGAGGCGAATAGTTTTAATAGCCATTCTCGGGTTCGCCGAGCCTATGCTATACGCTCAGTGGGGTATGGAGGAGGGACGGGAGGTGGTTTTTGGGGGACAATTACGCCGACTTAAAACTAAGTACGACGCGGAATCCCCCTAGACCAGTCGATTAGTATTACTCCAAACATTTGGGATTACTATTTGGAGTTGGGGATTTGTTATTTCGCTGCAGGGGTGTAGTTTCCTAGTCGAGGTCTTTGTCTTGTTCGTTATTGTCATTGTCCGTGTCCTGGTCAGATAGTTCCTGCACTTGGTAAAGTGTGTCAGTTGTTTTTAATAAATTTTGTCCCAAGCACGTTTTGTGGTAAAGTTTTGTCTTTTTTTCTTAAATTCCAAAATTAAGCATTGCATTTATTTATTAGTTAAACAAATGACACGCGCAATTATTCTGTTGTCTAATGTTTACAAATCTAGTAGAGTTTGGCTATTAGGCTTTTTTTACTGTGTTAGGATTATAATGATTAATGTGTTAGTTTATTCTGTGAGTTTAGTGTTTATGTTCGGTTTCGTTTGGGATTGCATTACGCATTTGTTGTTGACATATTTTTTGCCCTATGCCGTGTGCCTTTCATAGGTTTTAAAGATATCTGCCGTATTTAAATTGCAGATTTTGTATTAGGTCATGCATATTCTTAAGGTAACTTATCATTTTTTTGCGGATGGCCACCTCCCCTCTTGTTTGACCTCCTTTGTTTGTCCAGTGACAGGTGGCACTTAACTCATTCATATCACTTAACACTTCACTCCTCAATGACCGTTACACCATTTTATTTGCACTCTATGAAAATTGTTTGTTTCACTTTATTAGTTTGCACTTTTTTTTTTAAATTATTGTTGGTTTTAATCTTTAAACTTTTACGTTTTAAGAGCTTTCCCACACGCGTCGTGCCCTCTCAAGTGCTGGAACCTGACTGATAAAAACTTATTTGTTTCTTACATTTATAAAAACTATAAGCGTCTACTTGGTGTTTTTTAAGATACTACCTAATGTAGTAAAGAAATTATATTAAAATAAGTTAGTGGCTCCTTTTTCGTTTTGATCAGTGTATAATGTATAAATACAATTAATTCGTTTTTAATACCTAGAACTAGATAAGTGGAGTCAATAATGATTTAACTATACTATACACCATTATTGACTCCACTTATCTTATTCTAGGTATTAAAAACGAATCTTCGATAAAAAAGTATAAAACCCATTTAAATATTCTAATGTTCTTAAAAATAATCAGAAATCGAAAAGATTTGGATGTTTGCGATTGTCCTTTGGTGGTCCATCGGCTTTACAAACTATCAACGAGATTTACACATGTATGCTTTTGTTTTTCTGAATGTAAAACAATCGTCCGATGGTTGTGGGTACCTAATGGCACCATGACCTGCCAAACTGCATTCTTATTTGAGCCCACCATGTGTCACGGTGACTTAAAGGCTATTACGATAGAATTACGATATATCGAATGTCAATGTGGAATGGTATTGATGGCAACTGATAAGAATTAATTCGCCCAAATCGAAAATATATGCTCGATGGGTGTGTTCACTTTTTTGTCCAAATACATTGATACTCTATTAACCTCAAACATTTATCTTCTTTTAGGTGCTTGGCTTAACCGCCATTTTTCAATCAGCTCACTCTTCTCATCACGAATCTAGGCATCGTCTACGTCATTATAGGTAAGTTATTAACTAAATTAAATCTTTACACATGTTAAAAGAGTACCTAACTCTTAACAACTGTTAAATTTTATTTGATTGACTAAAACATAAAATATGACATCAGCTGTCTTATTTGAATTGTTTTCATAGAAACCATGTTAAATGATAATAATATTTATTCGAAAACTGCTTTTTGGCAAAAAAAGTGGGCCATTTTCAGGGTTTCTTATAAGAAGTCAACGTTATAATAAATATACAGGGGTTTAGGGGTCAAAAATTAAACCGGTGCACCGCGGTAGTGTAAGGTAATAAAGTTATTATATATTCGTTGGAATTTTACAAAAAAACAACAATTAAAAAGTTAATTAACTTTGTAAGTTTGATATAACTTTTGATGGTAATGCAGGTGTGACCCTAAAAACTCTAACAATGAAGAAGAATGTTAGCAGGTACATGGTTTTGATTTTATTAAAAATTCTAATTACGGCTCATGGTCACTCAAACAACTAATTGGTAGACATGATAATGGTGTAGGTAATGCTAAAGTTGCAGCCCGAATTTACGCCAATGGTATACATGGTGTCCAGAAAATAACCGTACCGCCATACCAAAAAATCTTAAAAGTACTTTTTGAGTTAATAATTTTTTTATACACTTATTTTTTACATAAAAGAAGCACAATGACCTAGAGTTGTGATTTAAAGTTTAACTCGAATCAATTTTTAAGTCTTATACACACAACCAAACTTATATGGAACCACCCAGTAATTACGAGAAACATTATTCCACTTAAAAAAAGTAATTTGAAAATAAAATGGTCTTTATCTAGACCAATTTTATAACAAAATATAAAAAAATATCAAAACAAATTTTCTAACAAATTACAAAACATTTGAATTTTCCTGAGAATAGACTTTACAATACAATAGAATATAGGAAAAAATAATACACATAAAAAAAGAACAGCGATGTCATTGAATGCATTAAAATTGCTCAATTAATTACTATTAAATCAAAATAGGGAAACATTTTGCCTAAATGTTAAATAATTTATTGCGATAAATGTATACATAGTATACATACTATGGTAACGTTAAATAAATAAAATTAGTATTTAATGCAATAACATCCTAACAAAATGAAATAAATATCAATATAAATATCAATAGATTTAGGAGCAATAACTTTTGTTGTTAATTTAATAACAGTAAACGATTATAAACCAAGTGCTAGCTACCTATTGGTATTATAGGAACTGTTTATACGAATTACAAGATCCCATTGGTTTAATGGCTCACCCATTCATGGTAGTGTTTTTTCTGTGTAGGTTTTTGTTAATTTAATAATCAGTGTTTCCACCTCTAGCCTCAATGCAAGCACGAATTCGTTAATTCATTAAGTTATTAAATTCTTTTTATTGAACTTTTTCCCACCCCAATAAAACTACTTTTACTAGTTGCTCTGCGTTTTCGGGTAGTTTTAACGTGCTCTAATTCTTGTTTTAACTTTATACCTTAAGTTCTCAATTGGATTAAGATTTGGTGAACAAGGCCACTCTAAAGCAGTCACACTTTTCATTTCTTAACAGTTTTTGACCACTCTACTTATAACTAATTACCTATATAATTAATTTATTTGTCATATAATTATATAACATAATCAACTTTTGTTTTAAAACACAGTTAGGTTTATTTTTAGTTGTTTCTTTTATGAATGCATTTGTATCTATTATTATTATTATTGTCCTGTAATAGGATTAATTTCTGTTGGGCAAATAAAGATTATTATTATTATTAATATTATTATAAATTATATTTTATTTTTTATTTATTGATGAATAGAATTTATTTTTAATGCATCAAGAAATTGAAATATACATACACACAACCAATCTTATATAAAATCACCCAGTAAAATCAAGAAACAGTATTTAACTTAAAAAAAAACCATAAAAAATATTAAAGCAAATTGTATATTAAACAAATAACAAAAAATTTCTCTGAGAATAAAGTTTACGGTAAATTAGAATTTAAGGAGAAACAATATGATTTTGTTAATTACATAATCAGTATTGCCACCTCTAGCATCAATGCGAGCACCAATTCTACGAGGCATGCTTTCTATTAAGTTATGAATTTCTTTTTGGGAAACATTTCCTCACCCCTGTAAATGATTAGTTTCTCTACTTTTACAAGCTATAATCCTTCTTTTAACCTTATTCCACAAGTTCTCAATTCTATTAAGATCCAGTAAACAAGAAGGCCACTCTAGGGTAGAGACGTGATACAAATTCAAAAAAAAAACAGAACGATTTATTAAAGTATTATAAACAAAATAAAAAAAAAATTAACATAAATGCTTAACATTTTTTTTATTATCGTATTAAAAAAAAGTGTCCTTTACTCCATTTCGCTCTGCATACGTGGCAGAATGGGGTTATCGGGCTTACACAATTCACAGACAAGTTCTGCATCGTCGTCATCACTCTCTATCCCCGCACACGAATTGTAAGCCCACTTTTGGCACTGTGTGCATAAAATCCAACCCTCAAATGAAGCTTAAAATGGGTATATACAATATATATATATCGCAAAGTTATAAAACTAAACAAAATTTTACCAAGTTTAGTCTAAAACACACTAAAACGTTCGTAGTAACATTACCAACTAACGTGTTGGCCTTCTAGTAAATGATAACAAAGGACGATAGTACTATCGATCGTCTGAAGCGGGAAATTTAAATAAAACACCGTTCAGCCCCGGTACCCCGTTCTACCCCGGTCTCCCCTAGAACTAAATCCACATACCTTGGACCTCTTACGGGTTGTCTGATGGGAATCAAATGAATGTTTTCACCAATCATAAATCCACCCCTAAACATAACACTTCCTCCTTTGTCTTGAGAGATCGATCGTCCAGCTCAAAGTCTAGCTTGTCTCTTACGACCTCTAAGATATGAGTTCACTGGTCGTCTGATCGTAGGCCAATTGTCCAGTTTTAATGCTCCAAATACCAATTTAAATGACCAACTCTATTTTGCACTACTATTTTTGGAACCCTTGTTCAACTGTTTTCTGTTTTTTTATTTCTGCCGAATAATGCACCACCGCTGATAATTATTCAGGAATACGAATTACAAGATCCCATTGGTTTAATGGCTCACCCATTCATGGTAGCGTTTTTTCTGTGTAGGTTTTTGTTAATTTAATAATCAGTGTTTCCACCTCTAGCCTCAATGCAAGCACGAATTCGTTAATTCATTAAGTTATTAAATTATTTTTTATGGAACTTTTTCCCACCCCAATAAAACTACTTTTACTAGTTGCTCTGTATTTATAAGTAGAGTGGTCAAAAACTGTTGAGAAATGAAAAGTGTGACTGCTTTAGAGTGGCCTTGTTCACCGAATCTTAATTCAATTGAGAACTTAAGGTATAAAGTTAAAACAATAATTAGAGCACCTTAAAACTATCCGAAAAGTTTATAACTTTGCGATATATATATTGTATATACCCATTTTAAGCTTTATTTGAGGGTTGGATTTTATGCACACAGTGCCAAAAGTGGGCTTACAATTCGTGTGCGGGGATAGAGAGTGATGACGACGATGCAGAACTTGTCTGTGAATTGTGTAAGCCCGATAACCCCATTCTGCCACGTATGCAGAGCAAAATGGAGTAAAGGACACTTTTTTTAATACGATAATAAAAAAAATGTTAAGCATTTATGTTAATTTTTTTTTTATTTTGTTTATAATACTTTAATAAATCGTTCTGTTTTTTTTTTGAATTTGTATCACGTCTCTACCCTACTAAAAATAATTTTTAAACGTTAGTCCCCATTCCGCCCCGGTCTACCCTACAACCCGAAGGTGCTTTTCGTAATTTATACAGGATAATGTTTCTCCATTTACTAGCAGAGTTGCCATAAATTATTTGGCAATGGAAGGTGTGTCTGTTTTAGAGTGGCCTTCTTGTTTACTGGATCTTAATAGAATTGAGAACTTGTGGAATAAGGTTAAAAGAAGGATTATAGCTTGTAAAAGTAGAGAAACTAATCATTTACAGGGGTGAGGAAATGTTTCCCAAGAAGAAATTCATAACTTAATAGAAAGCATGCCTCGTAGAATTGGTGCTCGCATTGATGCTAGAGGTGGCAATACTGATTATGTAATTAACAAAATCATATTGTTTCTCCTTAAATTCTAATTTACCGTAAACTTTATTCTCAGAGAAATTCACATTTTTTGTTATTTGTTTAATATACAATTTGCTTTAATATTTTTTATGTTTTTTTTTTTAAGTTAAATACTGTTTCTTGATTTTACTGGGTGATTTTATATAAGATTGGTTGTGTGTATGTATATTTCAATTTCTTGATGCATTAAAAATAAATTCTATTCATCAATAAATAAAATATAATTTATAATAATATTAATAATAATAATAATCTTTATTTGCCCAACAGAAATTAATCCTATTACAGGACAATAATTATAATAATAATAGATACAAATGCATTCATAAAAGAAACAACTAAAAATAAACCTAACTGTGTTTTAAAACAAAAGTTGATTATGTTATATAATTATATGACAAATAAATTAATTATATAATTAGTTAATCTTAAAAATAATTTACTATAATTGTAGAAATATCTTACATTTTGCTAAAAGATCGCCTAACTTACAAAAGAATAAATCATAATCCAAGCTAACATTATTAAAGTTTAAGCACATTGTATATATCGGAGATTTTTTAAGTATGTTGGCCAAACCAGGATACAATGTAAGAGTTTGACGCAAGTTTACTCTAGGTACAAATAAATTTAATTTAGAAAGTAAAGCTGGACAGTCAACTAAATCATGCACTAATTTATAAAAAAAGATTTGAAAAGTTATAAATCTTCTGCTTGAAAGCATTGGCATTTCAAATCTCCTCTTCAAAACTAGTGGATCTGATCCTCTTATTGGATAAACGCTATCAACCTTAAATGTTAAATAGGTATATTTTAAAAATCTTCGTTGTACCCTTTCAACTGCATTAATATGATTATTATAGCAAGGATACCAAATCAAGGAGGCATACTCCAGCTTTGTTCTTACTAAAGTAGCGTATATAACTTTAAGGGTATTTAAATTGGTAAATTTACCACAGTTTCTCATTATAAAGCCTAATATTTTCATTGCTGAATTACTAGTGATATTAATGTGCTCTGCAAATGACAGTGTGCTGTCAAATGTTACACCCAGATCCTTAACAGAACAACATCTGGAAAGACTGCAATTACCCAATGAATAATTAAAGACCAAAGGACTTAACTTTAATGTAAATGTACACACCATACATTTACTAATATTCAGACTTAGTTTGTTAGTTATGCACCAGTTTTCCAGTATATTTAATTGTCCTTGTAAAAAATCACAGTCCTTAGTTGATTTAACTGGATAAAAAATTTTTAGATCATCGGCAAACAATAGGCATTCACAATTAAGTAACTCTGGAAGATCATTTATAAAAAGGTTAAATATAAGTGGACCTGTTTGAACCTTGAGGTACTCCAGATGTTGCAGTATACTTAATTGATCTGTGTCCATTGTATGAGACAAATTGCTCTCTATTGTATAGGTAAGAGGCAAACAGAGTAACTAGAGGTTTACCAAAACCTACCTTCTGCAACTTATTTAGCAATATAAAGTGATCAACTCGATCAAAGGCTTTCGAGAAGTCTGTATATGCAACGTCAACTTGTTCTTTACGATCTAAGTTTTCAGCTATGTATTGACTTAAAGTGGCTAAGTTAGTGACAATTGAACGCTTTGTCATGAATCCATGCTGCATTGGAGAAATAAGAATCTTGGCTTGGTTGAATAAAGTTGTATAAACACACATCTCGAATACCTTTGCAAAGTTGCATAAAATAGAAATGGGACGGTAATTTGTAACAATACTTTGGTCACCAGACTTAAAGTATGAAAAGTATAGATCTGCGCATTCATATAGTATACATATATATACTTTATAAGTATTTGTTTAATACATTTTTCTTTTTGTAGGTATCCAGAGCCATACAACAGCACAGTTCCTCTGCAGATGGTTCCCAGCGATGCAATAAACGTGACGAAGTACGCGCGCGACAACCTGAAGCTGCTGCGCGAAGAGTTCCGCGTGCGCGACGAGGTGGACTGTTGTCCGACGGTGCGTGAGATGATTGAACCGGAGGGCGGAGAAAATCAGGAGGGAAACTACGTGGAGCTGTTCAAGGGCGAGTTGAAGCAGCGCTTCTACGAGCTCTCCTGCCATCCGGACATCCTGAACAAAACGTGCAGGTTCATCGACAAGAAGCTGCACCAGCAGTCGAAATGCGTGCAGAAGTACAGCTTCACGTACGCTCTGATCAAGGATCCGGGCGGGAAGCACAAGAACTTTCCGTCGTTTCCTCTCTCCGGACCTGACACGAAGGATTCCTGGAGGCTGGACTACATCAAGGTGAGGAGCGGCTGCTCCTGCGTCATCACTGAGAGAAACGGGCCGGGTTACAAAAAGAAACGGGCGAGAAATCGTGCAAGAAACAACAATGATTAACAAACATTTTTTATTTAATTATTTGCCATTATACCAAAGGAGAGCTACAATGACTTTTTAGTTGAATCAGTGTTAAGTTTGTGTATTTTTTTGTTTGTTTTTAAACTTTTGTTTTTTCTATAACATAAACATTTTACGTGAATCTACAAGACATTCCATTATTTAATGTTAATTGTATTTTTCGAGCTAACGTGTAAGTACTTTTAATTTCTAGTCGAACTAGGGATAACACTCTGCACGGTGCACCAAGTGTCCTTCTATGTATGGATATCTTTTTATTTAAAGAGCTACAAATTTGTTTTAATTAAAGAAAAGTTGCGTAATTCCAATTATATTAAAAAGGCATTTGAAAATTGGTAAAAAATCAGCGGTTGGCAAAATCAAAAACCGTAAAAAAAACAAGTTTCACATGTAAACAAACATATTTATCTACATTTTCATCCAATTTGTGATTTTTTCTCGACTACTGGATTTTAAGTTACCACCACCATCTTTTGTTTTTCCTACCCTGCTAAAAGCAACTGATCGCAAATGATCAAGTTTTAAAAAATTTTGATAATTTTTCCATGCGGTTTTTGTCAATTGTTTTCGACATTTTTAACTCGATCCTTTTTAGTCATGAAAACAGGATCGACTTTTGATTAAAAATGATCATTTTTAACATCTGTAATTTTATACATACAGGGTGTTATGTAATTAATGTAATATATTAAAATAGGTAGTTCCTTAGGGTCCATAAAGAAGCATCTGAAGCATTTTTTTTTTCAAAATTCTAAAGACTAAAAATAATTTATAATAGTCTTTATCCTACCAAAAAGTACGCCACTGATCGACTAGGAACTTTAGGCTAATCTGGTTGCCTAATTTAATTTATTATGTTATGGTTGGTAACAACCAGCGTTTCCAGATTCTGTTAGAAATAGTTGCCAGATTTTGTTTTTTTAGCTTAATTGCAAAAATGACAAAATCAACAATGCAAATTGTTAATTTGGCGTTTTTATTAATTGTTGATTATGTCATTATTGTAATAAAGGTAAATTCAAACAAAATCTGACTACTTTTATGACAGAAGTATTAGTATTAGTATATTAGGAAAATTACACCCTGTATATAATTTTTGAAATCTGTAATTAGGTGACAGATGTCTAAAATGGGCTATGACAGATAACAAAAATTAGTTATGCTACTACTGTGCAAATTTGTCCTACCATTTTTTAATTTTAAAGTTCTGTCACATTAAAACTTTTCATGGTTAAATAGAATAAACAAAAGATGGTGATGGCAACTTAAAATATAGTAGCGAAAAAATTAAATAAAAATGTATAATAAATAAATGTGTATTTTTACACGTTATTTTGTTTTTTCAAAATTCCCAGAAATATCGATTTTTGGTTTTGACAGGTTTTTAGTTTTTTTTAATTATTTTAAGAACCGCTGTTTTTTTCACAATTTTCAAATGTAATTACGCAACTTTTTTCTGATAGCACCGAACCAGTAGCTCTTTAAATAAAAAAAAACTTTTATAGTTATACAGGGTTTTTTAAAAGACATGCGCCAATACTCGGCTGGAGATTCGTCATCTAAAAATAAGAAAAATGTTGATTCAAACGTGGCCACGCGTGGGCCCGAAAATGCTTAGTTTTAAACATAAAAACGGTTAAAATATCTTAAATATCGTTTGCCGATTTTGTTAAAATTTAGCAACGTTATGTATACTGATAAGGAACAGTGGCGTCTCGAGAGGCACCTTGACGAATATTAATGACAAAGACAATCTACGCCACTGACTTTTTTAAATTTTTATTTTTTTTTTATGATGAAGCCACTAAAATAAAACTTTTTTGTTTTCGTATCTTACCTCGTTTTCGAAGGAAACAATAAAAACCATATTATTGCATGAAAATTGAGAAAACGCATGTTTTGCACCTTTTTCAGTTAGACAACAACTACATCTTATTATAGCCGGTTTGAAAGAAATGGCCAAATTTTAACAAAATCGGGCAAAAGATATTTAAGATATTTTAATTGGGTGTTTTTTTAAATAAATAAATATTCTAAAAATAAAGCATTTCTGGACACACGTTTATATATTTTTTATATATTTTTTGATGACGAATCTCCAGCCAAGCATTGGCGCATGTTTTTTAAAACACCTTGTATAGACATAGAAGAAAACTTGTTGCACCCTGTATAAAACAAGACTTGTAATTTAGTTTTAAGATTGATATAAAGTTGCTTTATAACCATTCTGTAACATAACTAACATAAAATTATGTTATACAAGTTACCACCATAAATACCTACAAGGTGGCAAAAAGTACCTTCATGATTTTCAATGATCTTTAACCATGGAGTTATTTTTGTGTCACACCGTATTTCCAAACAAGCTTCAATTGCCAACTTATTTTGCACTTCTAAGAAAACATCGCAATTGACAGCTTAATAATAATTTTGTTAATTTACCATAGCACAAAGGCGTCCCAGTATTAAAATATATTATTTGACTATGCAACCAAATGCATTTATATTTCCTTACATAAAAGTAAACAGTTGTAGTATTAACTTTTTTTAACTTCATTTAAATTAATACACTTTAAGTTAAAAAGGTACCTGGCTTTAAAAAAGAAAATCAATTGACTGTTTTACAATTTAAAAAGATCACATAATATGTGAGCAACAATATTATCTACATAGTCTTTTTCCGTTACGTAAAAATCGAATTTTCGACAAAAATATTAGTCAAATGTCTTCTTAACTTCTATGGCAGAAACTAAATTTAATTGAATCGGCGAGATTAAGAACAGTACAAGTCCAAGATTTTAAAAATCAATTTAAAAGTTTAAAGTGCATTTTTATGAGAAGATATAGATTATTTTACAAAATATGATTATTATATTTTATAAAATAGGAACCTAATTAAAATATTCTCACAAAAATGCATTTTTAACTATAAAACGTATTTCATGAAATAATTGGATCAAGTTTTAACTTTTGGACTCACCGATTCAATTAAAATGAAATTACTATACCTACCTACAGGAGTAACTGTCTGACCAAACTTAGTTAGTTAGTGATACCTATATACAGGCCCTGTATTATAGGGTGTTACTAAAATACTTTTACAAACGAGATATATGAATCAAAACTACAAAAAATTTTCTACACAATGTTCACAGAAACTTTCTTGTAGTTTTTTCGGTTCTAACTTTATAAGTATTTCTGGACACATGTCATGTTAGACGAGCACTAATGAGCAACTAGTATATTCAATATATATATTATATTGTGCTAGTAGTGGAAGAAAGACGAGATTCCTGGAGCGTGGAATAACACGCGACTGGAATCTCATCTTTTGACCAAGCCGCACACAATAAAATATTAATATTTTATGTTATTTGATAAATGTGAAATGGTTTTAACCTAACTTTTTTTTAATTTTAATTTAAAGCCAAGAAATAAAATGGGTGCTAATTAATATATAATAATTTTTTAAAATTTTCCAATTTTAATGACAATCATTACATTTGTACTTTTAAGTAAACATTTTAAGAAACATCTCCCTATAAACTTTTTATGGTTTTGTCAAGGCCAGGTTCGTAAAAGCAGTTTAGTTACACCCTATAATACAGGGCCTGTATATAATACTAACCAATACCTCTATAACATCTACCTTTTATAAAGAAATCTTACCTATTGCTTATACGCCAGTAAACAATTTGGCAAAAAGAAGATTCTTAAAATACATCATTATTTTAACCGTTTAAACTGACTGAGATTAATAGATATAGAAATGGACTAGATTAGACTAATTAAAAAATTGACTATTTTTCTTTTCAAAAAATATATCGAGAATATTATGCAAAAAATTATCATGTTAAAATTAAGGCTCTACATTCTACAAAAAAGGTCTTTTATCATTTTATGATAAATTTACTATTTCAAACGTTACTCAAGGTGAGATTTTTGTATTTTTCTTGTAAAACTATTAAACTTATTTATTATAAAATTATATAGGCCTTTTTTGGAGCGCGTTTAATTTTTCCTTAATTATTTTCTACAATGATTTCAAAATTCCTCTAGGATTTTTAGTTATCTAATAATATTTGCATATAAAAGTTAAAATATTAAACAACCCAAAAAAATAAGATTTTTGTAAATAAATTTACTTTTAGTTTAATATTAAAAGCTAAAATTTACTTAAAAAAGTCGATATTTTTAATTAGTCTAATATATACAGGGTACTTGTGGTATAAATTTAACTGACGATTCCTTGAGTGATTTTAAGACAAACAGTTCATATAAACATGGGACCGCAAATGATTCGTTTTCAAGATAAAGGGTGTTAAACTTTTCTATTTACATGCATAATTGTTTTTTTTGTAAATATCCTAATTATTATTTACCTACCCAATTTTGTTGTAATTTGGCAGTGTTATTTGTAGTGTTAAGGGACTTTTAGCTCTAACTTGGTTACATTTATTAGGTACAGTAGCGCAAATGTACGCCACTGACGGTTTTTCTATACCACACAAGATATACAGTTAAGTGGTTTTTATTTTTTTTCATATTAGCCAAGCAAAATAAGAGACAAAAAAGTCAGTGGCCTAAATTTTCTTGTTAAAAATATTTGTTAAGGTTTATCAAAGTTTAACTCCCAATCTTGAAAACGAAGCATTAGCGGACCCATGCTTATATAAACTTTTCCTCTTAAAATCGCTCGAAGAATAGACGCGTCGGTTAAATTTATTAAGTACTTAACACCCTGTATATCTCTATATATAGTATCTATATCTATATTTATTAGATAGATGATAATATTATATTATTATACTATTTATTGTAATTTTTAAAGTATATCCAGCTGCACTAAAAAGTGTTTGTATTCATAGATATATATTTTATCTATATCTATTATACCCATAATAATATTATATTATTATACCTATACCTACTTTATTGTATTTTCTAAATTATATCCCAATGCATTAAAAGTGTTTTAAACTTTTACTTAAAAATATTTATAAACACTTTTTAGAACTAAAGACTAAAGAACGTGAAGGAGACAAAAATGAAGTTTGTAAAATATAACGTTCATTTAATATGTCAGTATTAGAAAATTTGCTTAGTTGAGGTAACATTTTTAAATATATTATAAATTCCCCTGTATATAAGTATTGTAGCGGGCATGTTCTCGGTCGTGTTAAACAACTTAACATTTTAGTTAGCACATTCGTACTTTGCACGGCAGAGGACATATCCACTTTTGATTCTACAGGACTCATATTTATATCTAATGACGTTTTACTTAAGTATGTATAATAAATGATAATATTTAAAATACTCATTTATGTATGATATACCTCTATGACTATATATTAATAATGGTTACCCATGCACTTACGTGACAGCACAAACTTAACTATTTTGTGCTGTGCTTATGTACTGAATTGTAAATACATATTTAGGCATATAAAATACAGTCCTTTAATTTTATTGAAATGTAAACAGTATTGTTACTACTTAACTACTTTAAAATTATATTATAT